GCTGATTTTGTCCCTAGTGCTTCTTTTCAATTTATGAATACTCAAACGGAAGGTGATAGAGGGGATGGTTCTATTGTGAAGAACAAAAATGATCAGAGGTGTGTGGTTTAATTTGCCGCACGTGTATTATTGCTTTTTTTATTAACACTGGCCTTATTTTTATGGCAATTGAGATTAGAATTTTAGGTCTTTGATTATGTGCAAATTCTTTGTCTTATTTTAAAATAGAAAACACAAAGAATGTGTCTACTGAAAAAATGTGTAAATTATTAGTGGTCCATGACAAACAAATTTCTCCTTCAGTAAATTTCTATGGTGAGGATTATCATTTTGAGATTTCTACTACATGTATAAGTAGTAAGGTGTAATATATCTAAAAATCCGAAGGCTGTATTAACATTGTCCTAACTGTGTAACTTTTACTCTGCAGTGCATTGTTGAAGTTTGTAAATAAGGCTGCTGATGGTGGGATTACTGCTCTTCATATGGCTGCACTCAATGGGTATTTTGATTGTGTTCAGCTTTTACTAGATCTTCATGCAAATGTGTCTGCTATCACATTTCCTTATGGAACATCAGTGGATTTGATAGGTGAGCTTTTCGGTGATGTTATTTCTTCCACAGATAATTTATGATTTGTATGTCCAGATGATAATAGATATATTACATTTGCAGGAGCTGGAAGCACCCCCTTGCACTATGCTGCTTGTGGGGGAAATTTGAAATGCTGTCAGGTACGGCATACATTAAATATTCTCAGACTTGTCTGTAATTTCTCTTAAACAGGGCATAACGTTCATTTTGTTTCTGCAGATCCTTCTTGCAAGAGGGTCCAGTCGAACAACTTTGAACTGCAATGGGTAAACTGCCTGAGGATCTTCTGTCATTGTCCCCCATTCTCTGTTTGCCCTTTAATTTAGCTAATACTTGAGTTTTATGTGTCATGTCAACATGTCTAATGGGGGTGTGTACTTCATCAGGTGGTTGCCACTTGATGTTGCAAGAATGTGGGGCCGTCATTGGCTTGAGCCGTTACTAGCACCCAATTCTGAAGCGGCCATACCAAGATTTCCTCCTTCCAATTACTTATCTTTGCCTCTTTTGAGTGTACTTAACATAGCAAGGTATTCTTGTGACTGCTACTATTATTTATCTATAAAGAAGATATGCAACGAATATAAGAGATATCAAGGAAAACTCAGTATTAAAATGGGGAGACTAGGTTGATAGATATGACAACCAATGAATAACCTTGTTTTAATGTGACAGGCTTCTAAATGTAAAATACCTTCTACTACATTGATTGCCATTTGGGATGGTCAGAGCAACCAACTCTCGTTAACATTTCCTCATATTCTTTGATAATGATTCCCGCTGGAGACATCATTCTGTAATTGATGCAGCACCAGGAGATAACATTTAAAGAATGAGAAGAAAAGAAAAATTAGCATAAGGCAGAAGTAGGGTTCAGAAAATACATGAGACACAGAGAGTCCAAGCTTAGAAGTATATCTCCTTTAGAGTTGCTGAAAACTCATAAACTTTAGTTTTGGGTTACAAAAAGATAATTAGGAGACGGGAGAATTAGGGTTCGGAAAATACCTGAGACCTAGGGAGTCCAAACTTGGAAATTTATGTCCTTTAAAGTTGCTGAAAACTTATAAGCTTTCAGTTTTGGGTTACAATTTTGTTCTTTTATGGCAGAAATTCTTTTATTTATTCTGTCCCCTGGTTAGGGTGGTCGTTGGACACTGGAATTTGTTTACTTTAAATCTTTGCTGTGGTCTTGAAATGATGCCTTTTCTATACATTCTGCAGAGAGTGTGGGTTGCAGTCCTCATCAACCTCCTCAGATGATGTTGATGCTTGTGCTGTCTGCCTTGAAAGAGCATGCAGTGTTGCTGCTGAAGGTATCATGGATATTATTGTCATTGCTTATTTCAGCATCCTTTTCTTAATTTTTTGGTGTTATGTGGCTAGGACAACCTGGTCTTCGGGATGTTGATTTTGAAAACTACTTAGGGATAAAACAATTATATTTAATGAGATATCATACAAAAACTGAAAATATTTTATGTTCTTATCAAAAGTGGAGTGTTTTACTGTTTAGGAGATATTTTAATTGCAACTACCTATTCACCCCATTCTCCCCAAACACAATTCTTATTATTTTTTCTTCCAACAACTGTCTTAAAGATTTTTTTTGTTTTTGTTGTTTCACTTTTTGTTAATTCGCCTTCAGATCTCCCCATAGACTTAAAAGTCATCAGTGTACTTGGGGAATAATCTCTTTCCAACTTGTATGAATGTATTCATGTGGAACTTAACAAGTTTTCTTTTGTTACTATGCTGCTTTCGTAGTACCTATATAAAACATTTTTTTGGTCATGTACCTTTCCTCAACTGTAAAACATGCTCATGTTCTTTAGTTATTGAATGCTTTCAGGGTGTGGGCATGAGCTTTGCGTTAGGTGTGCACTCTACCTTTGCTCAACCAGCAGCATCCCTTCTGAAATGGTTGGGCTACCAGGATCCATTCCATGCCCTCTCTGTAGACATGGCATTCTATCCTTTGTAAGATTACCTAGTTCCCCAGCCAAAGAAATTAAGCTACATCTATCTCTTGGCCTATGTACTCCATGCATGCTTCACCCTCGTGATGCAGACTGTCAATCACCAGCTTGTGCACCAGAGATTAAAAAGAATCGTGTTGCTTCAGTCTCTTCAGATATTTTCTGCCCTGTCACCTGCAGTCCTTTTCCCTCTGTCACCATACCTTTATGCACCTGCAATGAAGGACCGTGTCCCACCTTTGAACCTCAAGAGGCAGAAATGCAAGATGAATCTCCCAGACGATCCCAGGTTGCATCAGTTGAGCAAGACAAAATTGAAGGGCCTAGACTGGGGAGAACAACTTGTTCAAGCATGTTTTGGGGCAGAAGGAGCGGTAGCAGAGAGCATCAGTGCAATTCAGAAATAAATGCTTGACTGGTTTTTTACATGATTGTTTCAAATTGATCTTCCCATGCATGATACTCCTGCCCAAGATCCCTCTGTTAACCTAACTACTCTCAACCACAAAAAAATTTCTGCTTCATTGCTTCTCGCTTGTCTTGCACCAAAGTGGTGATGAATCTCGCCCTTCACTCATGGAACATTTTGCCCAGGGTCCACCTTTTATATTTGCTTTAAGGGACACCAACATTGAGGGTCTGTAAGTTTGCATATTCAGGTGAGATAACTTGTAATAGAATATCATTTAAAACAGTTTTCCCTGTTCATCACAATGGTAGAGACTTCTTCTTACATTTTTCTTTTTACAAGAATTTACATTTGTTGTGATGTGTTACTGTTAACAGGTGAATGGTGCCAATTTTTTTTTTCTTAATATATCTAGTGATAGACTATATAACAGGGTATGGTGTTCATTTTTTTGAATACTTTTAGTCTATGATATGAACCAAGACCTATAACTTGAGAGTTCCAAGTCAAACGGTTGGGTTATTTCACAAGGGACTGAACCATCTTCAATGGGAATTGTACCTATCTCCTTAAAAGGTCAAAAAGTCATTGGAGCAACAAGAAAAGAGTCTAGTTGCGTTGATTAATACCAACTTCAAAACTTTGATTATAGTCGAAGTTAAGGATTTAAACTCTTGAAGTAATTAAATACACCAATGATGTATTTAAATTAAGGAGAAAGGAAATAGAGTTAATAATATTTTCATATTCCTTTGATTTCCTCAATCTAAATTCTAAACGAGTCATAAGAGACTTTATAACTAAACAAAAAATTCATGTAGTTACTTCAGGTGGTAATGGAATTGAGATGTCCTCATCACTCTGCCCTTGTGCCATCAACAATATGGCCCAAGAAAGGAATCATTTCATCTTTAAATTTTCAATATAGACGAATGTAAAGTTCCATATAGATTTATGGATAAATAACAGGCAGAAGTACAGAAACACCTTTCCATTGTTCTTGGTGACTGGTGAGAGATCCTGAAACTGGGGAAGGAAGTGGGGACCCCCCATGTACACCTATTGAGTACAGATTGGTCCACACCATGCCACGTCTATCCTACATGGACATGTAGCCCTGTTTACTACAATGCATCCTATCATTACCAGATCCTCCTCAAAAGTACCCTAAAAAAACATAGAGATGGAACCCACAAACCTAGTCATACCGTAAAAACAGTAACCTAGCTATCCATACAACACAAGTACATGCACTACAGTACTTTTAACGCAATCAATCCAACAGAAACTCAGTTAATTAAACTGAAAGAATCTGTTACGGATTATTCCCATTATATATAATGAGTAAACTAGTAGAAGGGTCTTAGCCCATCTTTTTTCGTCTTTTCCTTATCTTCTTCTTGCAGCTGTTTCTCTCTGCGCATTGAAGTACACGGCGGCTACTGGCAGCCCCAACCCGTTCTCCTCCGAGAACCTCCTGGTGTTGAAGTGGTCTCTGGAAGCCGGAGGCCTCACAGTCTGTCTTCCTCTCTGCTTGAACAGTATGAACACGTATCGGTGGATCCCTATCACTGGTTTTGGGGTCTCATACCCGACAACTTCTTTTCCTATTTTGATTAAGGATTCAAAGAAACCCTTAGTGAAAAAGCAATTAATAGTAGCATATTAGTCGGGTCAAAAATCTGTCTAAGTATGTTGTTAAAAAAAAAAGGTAGCAGGTACATAACCAAATTGGAGCTATGAGAGAACTCACCAAAAGAGACATCAGTAGTGCCAGGAATGTCGGTGACCATCCTGGAATATAAAAGCATTTGCATACATTTAGAAAATTATACACATTGAAATTAGAGAGACAGAGCTGACTGTATTGCGGCAGCAAAAAGGTTTTTTTTTTTATTTTTTTATTTTTTTATGCGTACCAATGCAAATGTTCTCTCAAGTGTGGATCACTAGGGCTGGGAGCATCAGGGTCTGTCATGATCTTCAAACATGGAAAGCAGAAGTTCAAATTTCAATGTTCAAACTGACATATAAACATTTAAAATTGCATAATGCAAGGTTTTTGTAATGATATTTACCAGTGTGTATGCAGTTCTCATGTCTTCCCCTCCAATCTCAACTCGGGGTCTGCTGGCAATGACAGCAGGCATGATCTCATGCCCGTTGGAGACCTGTTTGTTTGAGTTGTAAGTCACTGTCATTTTAACGGTCGGTGTGAAGACATCCACCACTTCTCCTACCACCCTGCCCACCATAAGGGGTTCCATAACCCTAGACATGATATGGAAAGACAAAGGACAAGGGAAAAAAGAGGAGAAGGAATGGAGATATATATATGTATTTTGTTTCAATATTTGTTTGGTGCAATGGGAGGATGGATAGCTGAGAGCTTTTATAGACACAACAAGGGGAGCAAATGGACTTGAGGACTTAAAAAAAAAAAAAAAGGGGGGGGGGGGGGGGGGGGAATTTCTGATGACATGGATACTGCTTTTGAAATCAATTTCTCGAAATATAAAATTCTAAAATACGGTTTATGTATATAAGGAAATTAAGGACAAGTGTTAAGCTAGGGAACTAAGTTGTTTTACTCATAAGAAAAAGGAAACAAGAAAATGCTAGCAAGGATCTCTGCATCTTGACTTAGTGAACAAGATTCTTGATTAAGTGAAGATTGCCTCCTGTAAGACAATATAAAAATGCTAGCAAGGGAGAATATCCCTTAAAAAAAGAAAGATTCAAGGTTTGATTAAGACAATATAAAAATATCATCATGCCCTGTGTAGAATTTAACGCGTCTTTGGCTTATTGGGTTAATGAGAATAAGGAATATGACTTTTTCCCACTTTTATATAATATCTTGGGGCAAATGGGAATTCAGCTTTTGAAGTGCTTCTCTCCATACACATGCTTTCTCAACACATTAAATCAGGGAAAAAAAAAAGAATTAAAAAAAAATATCTTATCAACAAGCATGGGAATGTGTGTAGTTAATTCCCTAATGAAAGCTAGCAAATTAATTGCAAGCACAATCTTACCATTTGGTTTTGGCATATTTTGGAAGGGATAACCCTAGCTAGCTTTATTCCTGTTTTCTTAAGCAACAAAGATATAATTAATAGAATGGCACTATATGGACAATTTTTTTATATCACATTTTCATACAATTTTTATATGTCATTAAATAAGTAAATGCATCAAATATCACGAGTCCTACATAAATTAAAAGAATCAGTCATTTTAATGATACGTCAAGTTGTATAAAAATGTGGAGTAAAAAGGTTGTATAAAAATTATTTCTCTAATTAATATGTCAAATAAAATTATAAATTTATAATTATGATATATATGCTATTAAATTAATAAATATATATAATATTATGAGTAAATTTTAAAATTAAAAAAGTTAATCATATAATAATTATAATCTTATAATATTATGTGTCATAAAAACTATATATGGTCCCTTAATTATATTTAAAATTTGTTTTTGATGAGTATATGGTCCTTATATTAACCATTACAAAACTCAAAAGTTTTAAATCCAAAAAATTTGTTTTAAAACCTTATAATTTCAGCTTATGGTGCTATAAAAGCTTTTAAGAAAGAAGAAGCACTTTCTTAAAATAGAGTAGCACAAAATTCATCTTTTATACAATAAAGGAAGAAGTTTTTAGAAGCAGAGCCAAACAAACAAAAGCAAAAAAGAGTTTTTGGAAATATGGCATCAGCTTTGTCTCTTTTGACTCTTGCCAACTCTGATTTTGGGAAATTAGTTTAATCAAGTATGGTTCTTAGTCTTTATTCCTTTCCAAATACATAAGATTCAAAATCAAAAATAGCAATGCATGCACTAATACTATTATTTAAGAATCCCAGCTATGCAAGAGGAAATGGAGGAATCATTGATAGCCAACGGCCTACAAGTCTTCTCCTTTCTTTAACCCATAGCATTAAGACTTTTGAGAGCCGGATATTAGCTAAGTGCGTATCAAACTTTCAAAATCAATAACCTTTTTCTTTCGTCCGTACATGTTGAAAACGATCGAGCCCAAGTAGGGTCTGTTCGGGGCATTACATGAGTCAATCTACTTGTTTCTTTTTTGATATTTACAATCAGATATTTCTCAGTAAATTTATACATATTTTAAAATTATTTTTTAAAAAATAATTTTAATAATATGTCTTTACATCATTCTGCTATATTCAAAGAAATTAATTTATTTATCATTCAATTCATTCCTCAGAGCTAGTTGAAAGACTTATATTATGGTTACAATTACTGTATATTTTTAAGAGATTGATGTATGTGACTCTTGATTCCCAACCTTTAATTTTTTTAAGAATTTTATAACAAAGAAAAAATGTTTTTCATGTTGAACTACACATTTAAAATTGAATTTAGATACTAAAATTACTAAAATATATTTAATGAAACTTGTTTTTATGTTTATTAATTCATAAATGGTAATTTAACAAATTCAATGTCCGAACAGCAAATTAAAAATTCAATTCAAACTAAAAACTCATAGAACTCATGAAAGTATTCGGCACACTCTTTGGTTCAATCAACTATTAATATTTATTGATTTAATTATTAAAATTTACATCTTTAAATTTTATCATTTTTAATTTTAAATTAAAATAGTAATTTTTAAATAAATTTATTGAAACATGTGCTAAAACTCACTTTATACATAATCAACATAAACTTTGTATTATTAACTATCTATTAGTTTGAGTGGAATGAATTTAATTTTTTTTTTTTGTAAAATCTTGAATTTAAATTTTATGAATAAAGAAACAACGCTGAAAGAATTTTTTCTTATAAAATCTTATACGATTTGATTTTAAATTAATCAAAATTTGATGTAATTATCAAATATCAAAAAATTAATTAAAAGAAAAACAAACACTGTATTAGAGATTGATATGAAATTAGTACGAATCACTTAAATATAGCGCTAGACGTTCATTCAAAGCCACGTTGTTGGATACTAATTGGCTTCATAAAAACAAACAAGATAACACTTATCGGGAGGTCAATGAAAGTAGAGGCAACGGCCATCAATAACTTTGATAAGACCGCTAATATTAATAGTAATTTTATTAATTTATAATTTTTTAAACAATTAATTATGATATTTAAAAATTAATTTTAATATTTTAAATAATTAATATTAATATTAATTATTTTAAAAAAATTAAATAAAAATTTAATATCTTTTAATAACATCAATAAAATTATTAATAATTACAATTTAATTTATGAATAAAAAAATTAATTTTTCATAAATTTCATAATGCTCACATGTTAAAAAGAGAACTTTAGGACATCCAGCATTCATTTGGACAAGACAAGTAAATAATTAGGACAGAGCCACGTTACTAAAGGTGTGTCAGGGACAAGCCTGTGGAAAGTTGACACGTAATTGAGAGAATAGAAAGAATAAAATGCGTGCAGAGAAGTCCTTCAGGAGGGGGGGGACAAAAAAATTCCCAATTGACTGATGGAACTGACATCCTCAAAAAATTTTTTGATTTTGATCGGCATAAATCAAGGGCCTAAAATCCCACTTTTTCCATTTAGACTTCCTTAGTTCCTAGTCAAATTCGCGATGTGTCCTCCTCCGGTACGCCCATCTGCACTTCCTACAGTGTAGCATCGCAGCCTCTAAAGTTAAAATTTTTTTACTGTATTTAATTGTTTATTTATTTTTAAACATGAAGAGTTGGATTTGAATTCTACGTTTTTAAATTTTAATACGAGAAATTTTTTACAAAAATGAGATGGATATTGTTAATTATTTAAATAAATTAGTGATAATTTTTTTATTAAAAATAAAAATTTTAAATTTAAATTATATAACATATAAATATGATGAGATAAAAGAAGGAAAAAAATTACTTCTCGTTATATAATTAATATAAAAAAAATTGAAATATTTATTAAGTCATGAAAACATTTTTATGGTTTGCTCTTTTTATATATCTTATGTTTACTAATAATAATATTATAATTATTAAATAATAATTAATAAAATAATAAATATTTATTAATTAATAAATTCAAATAAAATAAAAAATTTTAATAATCCTAACAATTTTATTGATGATAATAATTATACTCTTATTTTTCAGACATATATTGTATTTCACTTAATTGTTAATAAAAAAATAAAGTTTTTGATATTAAAAACTTACTTCATTAATAACCAACTATTTTATAACTCGCATAAAAAAAACTGTAATACAATATTCTATTTTACGACCTCATTTCCTTAACAGGTACTGCATTCGAATCCTCAAGCTCAAGTTCTCTCACGGTCTAATTTTCTATAAGATAGACTTGAACCTAATTTTCTATAAGATTTGAATTAATTAGAGCTGCGAGTCACACACACAACATAATATACACGTTGAGAGAGAAGTTCAAATTTTGGTCTTTTCTTTGTTATTTTAATGCTAGCTTAAAATTTTTAGTTTTGATGAAGGCGTGATTATATATTCTTTTTGAAAGAGGCTAATTATGGGATATGGAATAATGTTGACGTGGCGTTTGCTTGAGTTGGAATTATTAAATGGATGTACATACCACATTGATATGTTCTAGAGATCACAATATATTTTACTTAAAAATATATTTTATAGTTTAGATCACGAGATATTAACTACTAAATTAAGATAAACCTATTGATAATGAAGTTAATCATTTCATTTAATAACTGATATTTTACATTTTAAACTGTATAATACTAAACTATTTTTGCTTGTACTCCATTTTATAAGTCTATTTAAATTGCAGGCTATACTATGGAAAAGTAAAATTCAGTTACAAATGATGAAAACTTAAACCGAATTAATCAGTATAGAAGATAGATAATTAAGTGTGAAGAACTAACTGTGCTTCTCTCTGATTCTGACAACTTTTAAGTTTTAAGTCACCTGATCTGAAAAGGCACCTCATACGACCATACCGGATAACTAAATAGAGAGGGAAAATGTCAGAGAAATCAGTACCTATACACTGGGGAGAGAAGGCTGAAACTCCACAAGCTGTATTGTCGGCCGGAGAGGAGAAGCTGTTCCAAAGAGATACTGTATATATATAAACGAGAGATTCACTGAAAGCCCACCTCACTCTACTCTACTCTCTGCGCATGTCTATGGTGGCTGCTATCAACATGTCTTGCATGCCCCTGTTAAGTCACACCAATCTTTGTATCGCTATCCTGTCAAATTATTACTGTTCATTTTGACAAAGTCATAGTGTCACAATAATTATGAGCATGAACATTTTTCTTACATGTCTTAAATTTAAAATTTAAAACTGAGGGTTGAGCAATTTCCCATGTGATTCAGTG